CCATAAATTCACATTAAAAGGCTTCAAGCCTTGCTGTGTAAAGGCAGCATTTGAAAAGCTTGTTTCCAAAGCTTAGCAGCAGGATTAGAAGGTTGCTGGCTCTTAGCTATGAGCTTTGCAGATGCTAGGGGCTGGCAAAGCAAAATCTGTATCATGTGAAAAAGTTGATCAGGTCTGACTCTCCCCTGCCGTGAGATTACTTTTCTCACTACAAAGCATTTCTCCTCACCAGTAACTTTAAAGTATGTGTGGGCATGAAGATAGTGTATTGTTCAGCAGCTCACTGTTCTGCTGAGCAGCCACCTCGCTTGTTCTCTGGCTCAGGTTATAAACAGTGCCGAGAAGCTGCAAAATTGCTCACAGCTTAAAAGTCAAAATCATGATAACCTAGCCTATCTTACCCTACTGTGAGCTCTACTGAAATAATCCTGCTTAATCATTAAACCACAATAAAAGCAAGCCAAGGAGTTTAAGGCAAGAGCCAAGCGAAGGTGTATCAGAGCACTGCTCCAAACTTGAACTGAGCAGTCAGCTAGAGAGAGGAAGCCCCATAAAGGGATAGCAAAGTTGTTGTGCAAAGGGTCAGAGAGATGTGGGAGAAAACTCGTATCTGTTGGGATTGTCTGCAGGAGCCACAGTCAGCTGTGAGCTGCTCCCGCTAGTCAAGAGTCTGCAGTGGTGCTCTATTTACATCCTTTTTGCAGGAGATCATCTTGTTATCTAGAACACATATGAAATTCAAGTCTTGCTGTTGATGTAGGTGCTTTGGCTAAACCCTTATGCCTGATGATTATTGAGTTGTTATTTTACAGAATGGTTTACCCCCTTTGTACTGAAGGGTACAAAGACAGAAAATGGACAGACCTATTCCTTGCCCACCATGATGCATATTGTGTTAGAGCAAACTAATTTTTTCTAAGGCCATTTCATACACAAAGTGAGGTTAAATTAAAAAGAAAATGGAAAAGCAGGAAAGGAGAGAATATTATAAAAATAAAACTTCAGGAGACACACTGCTTCTGTCATTCTGGTGGAGGCACTGAGAACAGGGTTAGACCCATGGATGTATCAGGAGCTTGCACTGATTCCAGGAGGATTATTCTTGTGTGCTTGAGTGCAGGACAGACAGAACAGATTTGGTCCTTGTTGCTTAGACTTTTCCAGGATGCTCAATTTATTTGTGCATTTCAGGAAACAGACTAGTACAGTCAGATGTTCTGTGCCTGGGTTCCCCTTCCCCCACCCAAAACAGAAATAATTTTAGGCTAAAAGCATCACCCATGCCAGAAGATTAGAGAGCCAAATCCTTTCCAAGGCAAAGGACTTACCAAAACCACCAGGGTTTCACGTGAGTAGGACTAAACAAAGAACTTCACCACAGTCTGTGACAATTTGGCTGAAGAGACAATGAGTCAGTTTTGTATTTTCAGATCAAAATAATAGTCTGGATGGGGGAACACTCTTGCCTCAGCTTCCTTGAAAGTGGGGAATGAGAGGATTGGTATTGCTGAGATAATTGTGCAGAAAACCGATTCAAGTTTTGCAGTCCAAAATGGGGTATATTTTGTCTTCATTGTCTCTCTACCACCTCTTGCAGGATTTGACTGCAGCATGGAAGCATCCTGATATAACTTTACAGTCCATCATGTTGTTGTTACTGTAGTAACTTATTACTAGGACATCATGTGTTATCTTTATTGCTGCAGTACCTGGTAAAATGTACCACTGTTTGTCCACACACACTGTTATTACTGCCTTATTCCCCAAACTAATTTACTGCAGCATCCTGTTGTGTCTTATTGCTGCATTATCAAAATGCTACTTTACTGCAGCGGCCTGTGTTACCTTATTGCTACATTTATTCTGGTATTATTATGTCAGCTTACTGTCACTTTTTATGGCTGCCCTGCTACCATTTTATTATAGTACTCTATGGGATCTTAGTGCTGAGTTATACTGAGAGTACATTAATCCATTTGCTTTAGCCTAATGCTGTCTGCACAGGCTTGTCAAAGCTCCCTAGTGCTTGTCCTGGGTTTTGCAACAATAGCCACAAATACTCTGGATACTCTATTATCCAAATAACAGTGTACAGCCATATTTCACAGCCATAGTCCTGTAAGTATGGGAAGCTTTGTAACTCTCTTGCACTGCATGGACATTGTAAAAGCTTTCCAGACTGTCTTTCCATGAAACAGTGCCATTTAGAACATAAACAGAGGTGGAAAGCTGATTTCCTAACTCATCTTCAACCCGATGAGGTAGCTGGAAGACATGAGACACTTACTAAGCAGCAGATTACTGCTTGCAATGCTCAGTGGGATACTGTTGGATGTACAAGACTAAGATCACTTGGAATAAGCAATGTCATTAAAAAGCAGTAATTCAAGGATGCGGTTCATGTGGAAGTAGTTACATGTTAGTATCACCATATGTGATGTAAAAGAACAGTTCATATGTGTTCCCAGGAAAAGGTCTTGTCTACTTGCATGTTTGTTTTGGAGAAATTTAGTCAGGAAATGAGGAGCAGAGCTTTCTTCCCTCTAGGGAATATGCAGCTCTGTCCGCTCAGCTAGCCATTACTGAGCAGATTAGCTTGCACGAGTGTGCATTTAGATGGCAAGCTGTTCAGCATCCAGGCCCCCTGATGCACACCCATATGCATGCTCTCTGCATCTCTAAGAATTCCCTCCTTGCACTCAACTGTTCAAATACAGAATATTCCCCATAGGCAAAATACTGTGGCAGCCAACATGACCATCCTGCAGGAATGAAGCCAAGAGACAGAACAGGGCGCTTTGCTCACAGGGCAGCAGCACATCTCCAAGTTAAATTCTGGCACTTTTGCTCCCTGCGCATGGACCATAACTCAATTTCCACCTGTCCCATCCCCTGCCTGCATCCTCCAGTCCTGCCCACATGTGCCCCAAAGCTGCAGGAAACTGAGGAGTACCTCCACAGAGCTACCCCATCCTTCCCCCAGGAGATGACCTCTCCAGTGTCAAGAACTCTATCAGCATAGCAGAGATCCCCTGGTAACACTTTACTATCCCTTGCTACATACCAGAGTTTCATGCTTGCTATGTACATCTTGCTCAGGAATGCTCTGCAGACCACTTTGAAGGTTCACAAGAAGACCTCCCATGGGAAATGCCCAGAGGTTGGGCAACACTGGAAGCGGAGTTCGAGCAGCTGTTGGTTTACAGAGCCCCAGTGATGCATGGTAATGGCGGGCTTGACAGAGACGAAAACACCATCTGAAAGGCTCTGAGGAGAGCTAACCTCTGCATTTTCCTAAGGATGACTAAGGGCACATGTATGAATATGCATGAATGGACAAGTGAGCCTTTTACATGAGGACCTGCTATTTCCTGAGGGGACCCTTTGGCTGGGTGAACAACAGAGGACAAATGAGTCCTGCAAAAAGAGCTAAGTGACAATTTGGAGGGAACCAAATGTCTCCTTCAGAGGCAGAGCACCACAAGAATGTCCAGGCACATCCACAGCGGTTCTGAAGTCCTGGAACTCACATGTCATGTATGTAAGGATGTGTAAGATGAATTTGGACTGAAGGCCTCAGATAGCAGGCTCTTAAGGTATAGGCATGTGTAAAGAACAAACATCATACTCAATATTCTACTGTACATTCATGCAGGTGTATGGATCTTAGGTATAACTGATAATAGAAGTTTTCTGGGGAAAAAAAAAGAGGTATCAGAATGAGAACTTTCATAGGTAAAGAGGGAAGTTCCTTCTTCTGAGAGAAACTATGCTGGCATGTTTTTGTGCATACATAGGCCTTAGACATTAGAATAATACTTGCCTCAGAAGAATGTTGTCAATAGCCAGCTGTCTACTTAGCTAGATGGGTTTGCCTAGGTAGGAATGCAGACTTGTAGCCATGTAGCAATTTCTACCACCTGTACAAAAAGCCAATTTGCCTTGGCATGAGAGAAGAAGACCAAGAAACGTCTTGTTTCACATATGCTTTACATCTGAACTGCTTGCAAAATACAGGAGATTTTGTGGCACTAAGTCTTGAAATTTTCATATATAGACAATAAACAGTATGTAAATGCAGGCCATTTTACTATCTGTAGCTAGTATAAGTGGGTTTTTTATTAAAGTCACTTCAGTTCTGTCCTCATCCTAACCTCTATACTCCCAACAATTTGAAAAAAGTTACTGGGTTTGCTGTTGCACTGATGGGTTGTAGGTCAGATGAGTTTTAGTGGAAGCTCTTCATACTCAGAATGATGCTTCTCAGCAGGGTCAGTTATCTGAGCATGATATCACAGCTGGGTGTGCTGCTGTTTAGGAAGGGTCACCTGGCACCCAGTGCCCTGCCCATTAACACCCTCCTTCTGCTGGTCCAGTCTCCATCAATTCCCTCCTCATTGTAGACTGAATTTTGACATCTGCCCACATCAGAGTTGCCTTTCCATGTATACTTGTGAGCAGATTTTGGCCCTCTGTGATTGGAGCTGGAGTCCAGTTTGATCTGCTTGGAGTAAAGCTTGAACATCTATCACTGATTAAGTATGCATAACCTTAAATAAATAGAAAATTAAATAAAATATAAACCAACTCACTTTAAAATACCGCGCGTGTGTGTATGTGTGTGTGTACTTGTGTGTGCATTGCACATCTAAAACATGACTTTTGAGCATCAGGCAGAGTCTGATCACATTTGCACTATGCACACATGCAGAGTGATTCCGCTGACATCAGAGGATTTGTACCAGTATCAAAGTCTGACTTAATGGACCAGATCCTTAGGTGATGAAAACCACTCCTGCTCTCCTGACTTCAGCTGAGGATCTGGCCATCATCTCTGGACATGCTACATGCTATTGGATAGAAATGAGTGATGAACTTAAATAATGCCTTTTTTTTTTCATTGCTTTAAAGGAGGAGAAACATAGGAAAGAAAAACAAAGTTAAAGTCAATGGATCTGCAGGAGAAATGCATTTGAGATTTTGTAAGCAGGAGAAGCAGCTTCCAGCAGATATTTTATTGGATCCAGACGGCCACAAGAAAGGGAGCAAGTGAGATTGTGGAGCCATCTATTACAGTCATGTTTGTGCCAGGGAGAGAGGAGATGCATAAAAATACTGATATCTCTCAGCTCTTCTTTCTCCTAGTTGTGGTTGGGTCTGTTTCCTTAAATAATGAGACAACAAACCCTTGCCTTGTCGACCTCCTGTGTATAGTGAAGTGTGCTCCTCCAAACCTCGGTTCGAAACAAAGTACCTGGACAGAGCTCGGGGTCCTTACGGAGCTGTGCAGGCAGGAAAGTGTAGGTGTAAACTATGAAGAGAGGTGCTCCCCTGGCATGTGGCTCTCCACTTCCAGTCACTCAGGCTCTCTCCCCTGCAGGGGACTGCTCTCCCTGAAATTCCCCGTCCCCAGCAGCGGTCCCAGATGTCTCTCCCACGGGGCGGTTGGCTGAAGAAGATGTCAGGAGGACTGCATCAGGCCTGTGAGGCGCTTGCTCGCCAGAGACTTTCCCTAGAGGGAGGGACAAAAAGACAGAAGAGATCCAGAGGTGTGAGTGATGCTGTAGGATGGTTTGTCCAAGAGTGAGGAGCAGGGGCCTTCCCTCAGAGCAGGGCACAAGGCCGTGCTGACAGGGAGGCAATCGCTGTGGGGTGAGCCTGCCCCCAGCATTTCATGTGCCTGTTGTTTTGCCCCAGGCAGGTGGTTTGGCAAGGAGGGGTTGTGCCTAGTGATGTCCAGTGGCTATTGCTATCAAGCTCACAAGGCTGTGCCCTGAGACACTGTCTAGTGAAGATATTTCTTTTCTCCAGTTACATGGGAACTGGTGAAAGCAAAGCCCTGTGCTGCTCTTGCTGCTACTTGTCCTGCCCAGTGCTGTCCTGCTGGTGCAGAGCACTACCCCAGCTTGGGGAGTGATGCACAACTAAGGCTGTGGTGAAAGCTGGGATGAACTTTCCACAGCCTGTGAATCAGTACCACCTGCACAGTGTCCATCAGAAACAGATCTAGGAAAAAAGTAATTTCAGAAACACCTTAGCATGTTCCTGCCCTGCTGCCATTCATCTTTGCCCATTCCTTGGTCTCTTTTCTCCTGGGTCGGTGCCTGTTCACTCCTGCCTGGCTTCCCTGCCCTCCCTGTGGTCTCCTCCAAGCTACCAAGGCAGGACCATGGCCATGGCAGCCTTGCTCATGCCCTGCTGGTATCCTCTTGAGCTTTCCCACTGACTGGTGGGACCAAGGACCAGGGAGAAGGTCACCTGCACATCTGAACCCCTTCACTGGCTTAAGCCATATAGTGCCTGCTTTTAGGAGCAAAGGAGGACCTATAGCCAGTCTTCTCAATTTGCAGACAGCAGGAAGGGTATATCCCCATAGGGATACTGATGGCTTTGCAATTACTGATGTAACAGTGAAAAATTGTCTCAGATATTGCACCAGTTGCTGTGTTTCTTTGGTGGGCTTTCCTCTTGAAGAATGATGTTTTTCTTAAAGGAAGAAAGTCTCGCTTGAAATAAACATTCAGGGAATACCAGAGAGCTGTGGAATACCAGAGAGCTGTAGAATACCTAGGAGCTCTTAAACAACCTCCCATTCATTACTATATTTAGCCAAGATTTCTTTTGCAATAGGAAGTCTTACTAATTGCTGTTTCAAAGAAAGAGACACAAAAAGAGCAAGAGAAACAGATTATACAGTGAAAATGAGTATGTGCAAAATGTCGACAAAATCTGAAATGCAAAAATTAGCAGGTCATTTGAAATAAGTCTTTTTTAACAAGTTAACACTCTAAGAAAAAAGAAACACTTCCCACCTCCCTTTGATTTCTAATCTCTTTCCCTTTAGGGCTGTTCCAGGAGGATGTATCAGTTCCCTACAGAAGCCTCATTTCATTACTCAGATGTGCGACTTTCACCAGATAATTTACTCAGACGCACAAACACACGTGGCCTAATCTGTCTGCTTTCTGTACATCAGCAATCAGCTGCTGGAAACACTGTTATCATTCTGACTGTCCTGCTTGGGACGAGAGACCCACAGTCTGTGCCTCACACACAGGGCTTGGCATAGGAATGGTCAGAGCTATGCAAACACTGCAGAACCACTGCCATTTAAGATATGCATGCCTTTTTTTTTTTTCACTATAAATCAAATTCTTGATTATTCTTATTTTTAAATGCACTTTTGTGAAGCTCGGCCCAGTGCTATCCTAGGAGGTGACCAAGTCTTCTGCAGGGCAACGTGGCAGTGCCTGGGGAGCTACAACTGTGGCTGTCATTTTGCTGCTGTTAAGGAATTACAAGACAGAGAGTGTCTGGTATACCAGACAGAGTGTGAATTATCAGTTCCTAAATCCCATTTGTAGGAAGAAGAAGGTAAAGATGTGTGTGCTAATTCCTGGAAGAATAACATGGCTGAGTTTAGAAAAAAAAGTTAGTTTCCACCAATATTTGGATATTTCCTTAGGAAAAAATAAACAAATAAGCCTCAGGTTTATATAATGACTATTCAGTCAGACTCTTAACTAATCTGTGACAGGCAGCTCCTCTTGTTATCTTCTCACAGGCAGGTGGCTTGGGGCTATGCCAGCTCCCTGCGTCAGGGTCCGGCAGGGCTGAGGAGCAAACACTGTTCCACATCCAGCCCCCATTTCAACATGCATGTTTTCAAAGCAGGAAGGGGGAAATGCTGGTGGTGGGCCAGGCTGAGGACAGGGGACAGCTGACTCCTGGAGAAGGTGGTGGGTTGGAAACAAAGCAAATGCCTGCGGTTTGCGCAGAGCAAAATCTTGCTCATGGGTTTCCCAGTGGAAACTGCTTCCCGTTGCAGGGAAAGACAGTGGCCTCCATCTGCAGCTCCCCATCTCATGGAAAAGGCGTTACCCTGGGAACTGCAGCAAACTTCCCGCCTGCAGGCTGGGATGAATCCCCAGTGCAAAGCCCGTCTGTCTGGGAGGATAACTGTTCCAGGGAACAGCCTTGTGCACAGGGACATGCAAACAGATGGGTGCAAGAAGCTCTGTTTTTAGACAGCAAGAAGCAGGCAGCAATGTTGTCTGCTTGGCTGTTGTGTTCACCTCTGTGCTAAGACAGATGGCAAAAGGATCCCTGAAATTGCATAGATGGATTAATGCTGTGACATTTTTGACTACAAAAGCATTTGGACTGTAAGTGTAATGTTCAGCACACAACTATAGGCATACTGATATAGAGGATTTTCTTTCAACCAAAGGCAGGGCCAAGTGTCAGCCTCACAGCATGGGTCTGAGCAATATGAGTATCTGTGGGCTGGAGGCAGGTGGGATGCAGGTGTCTGGTTTGGGTTTTCCTCACCTTAGACATCCTCATTAAAATAAAAATGAAGAGGATCAGAAAAAAACAGCATTTCATTAGGAAAACTAGTACCTGTTTCCTGTTACTAAAATGAACAAGAAAGGAGCAAAACATTTTGTTACAGGTGGAAAAGCTGGATAGGATCCGTGATCGACCTGCTGATATAAATCAACATGACTCAGTTGCTTTCATAGAACTGATTTACACCAGTTGAGGGGCTAGTCCATGGCATCTCTGTTTCAGGTTTAGCCTTCCAGGGCTTCTAAGGCACAAAGCCCATCAAGAGACACAAAAGGTTTGTGCTATCTGAGGAAAGCAAAGTGTAGCATACACAACGTCTCCTTTGGGATGGGGCAATGGGTCTCTCCCCAGGCAGCCAGCACTCTCCCCAGTATCTCCAAACCTACCTGCCTCCACTTGCCAGGAGGGTGTCCACAGCCAAAGAGTCCAGGATGGCAACAACATGCCTTAGTGTCATTGCTTAGTGTCCAGAAAAGAGGCATCCAGGTAACCCGGAGAAGGTGGCTGGTGTTCACCTCAAAACGGCAGAGGTGAGACACACCCCTGCATTGTCTGTGATCAAACAACCCTTCCCTGAGGCTGGCATGGTGTCAGTGCCTGAGTCAGTCAGGTGAAAGGCTACTCTGAGAAGCTGGAGATGTCTAAAATAGCTCATAGTTAGGTGAAATACAGGCAAAAAAAGTTCAGATCCAGGATGGAATTCCCTTGGGGACATCTCTGACAGAACAAGAATGTTTCAGATTATTACTATATGAAAGTATGGCACAAAGAACCCCTGGTTTCTTTAAAAAGGTTCAACCAAAATAAATTACTTTTTCCTTCCATGTGTCTTAGTTTAGCATGAAACCAGTGGCTGCCCCCATATTTCTACCTCTTCTTTCCCCACTGAAAAAAAAAATGTCAACAACTGCCTTGTTTCCAGGAGAATTTTCATCTAAGCTGTGCTGGCAGGGGATTTGGAAAGCAAATGATCTCAAGCTCACCACACTTCAGTGCTTTTACTCTGTCGGATGTGTATGCTGAATAACTTAAGGAAAGATTAGAGTGGATATAAGGAGTAAACTTTTTACATGGGGTCTAAATCTTATAAAGAAATCCCCAGTCTTCCAGTTCCAAAATATTTGCCACTACTAATTAGGGTTACGACAATTAAAAGCCCAGGTTGTTGTCGCTCAAACAGCACACACAAGAAGGAGGGCATATATTGTACAGCATATGTTGTGTGTCGTCTTGGATGCAGGAAGGCTTTCTTTTCTCTCATGTCCTGCAAGCAGCTGAGCTGTTACACAGCTTACAGGCAAAGTAATTTCCAGTTTTCTCTATGCAGCTGAATCAGTGATATTTTTTTGCTCCTGAACACCAGCATGACAGGAGCCTCAGTTTTTAAAGGCAGTATAAAATCTGAACTGGAATAATCTAAAGAAAACATCAGGTAATTCTTAATAAACCTAATGAAATTGTCCCTCGGAATCTGAGTCCAAGTATGTGGCCCATCCTACTGCTTGGATACATGTCAGGCAGAGGACTGCACCTCAGCATTTGTGGACCATCAGGACTCACTGAGGCTCAGTGAAATAAAGATTAACCTGTAGGTCACAGGAGATGGTTAGCATCTTTAATGGCTGAGCCTGTGCTGAGCAGTTACTAAACTAAAGTGTAAAATGCAATCAGCAATTATTTTAATGAAGTAAAATTCAGCAATTTAACACAGGCAAGAAGCCAAGTAAGAGGAAAAAAAAGTGTCCGGGATTTGACACAAAAAGGAGACTGCACTCCTTTCAAACCTCCTGTATGAGCCACTAGAGTTTCCATTGTGCTCTTCACTTGTATCTACCAAAACTAGCACTTTGCAGAGTTTGGAGAGAAGGCAAAGGCTGGGAACTGTCTTTTAAAAATAATTTTAAATGGAAGGTTTCATTTTTTCCGGTGCCTATGGCTTCGCACAATGTTAACATGCTCTGCCCAGCACAGCACAGTTCCTAAACCTAGCATGCAGACATTCACCCCCACCAGCATGCATAAGCCAGCACTCCCATGCATGTCATCAAAAACTTACCTGAACTCCCAGGCAGGATTTATCTCATAAAGAGCTTTGTGGCTGCAGCACTGGGGGAGAGTAGGCACGGTACAGCAGAACAGGCTGCTGTTAGCCATGCCAAT